ATAAATACATTAAAAAGAAAGATAAATTAAATTCTCTGAATACACAGATTAGATGTGACTTCATTACACATTGTATACATGTATCAAAATATCACACATAGCCCATAAATATGTACAATTATTATGTATCAGTAAAAAAGGAAGTTAATATGACTAAAGACAAAAGTTCTATTAAGAAAAAAATTATTTAAAATTATCTATTCCACTTTTTGCTATTTTCTATATGTGAATAAGAATCATTATATAGTCAAGGGGAAATGGCGATTGGGTATTGTATGAAATTACATTGGTCAGTTTTTACTTTAAATTAACTAAAGAAATGTAGAGTTACAAAGAACTGATATGTAGGAAGTAAACCAGTTTCCAGTTTGGGATATGATGAAACACACTTTTCTTACCAGAGGTCAAATCAAAATGCATTGCCTACATTTCCTTATCTTGTGTATTATAAGAATGGTGATGTATGAGAAATTTTCATGTGGACATTCTTAAGATAGATGAAGGAACGTTTTCCATTTTTTACCTTGTACAATCAATTTAAAATCTGAATTTTAAATTTAAAATGTTAATAGGACCATAATTTCTTGATGGGAAAAATATTTCTCAGAAGCCCATTCAAGTTCTCTTCTACAGAGAGTAGCCAACCTTGAGAGTGACCAACCTCAAATTAATTTCCCTGCATAAATTTTGCAAAACTGCCAGGTGGAGGATTCTTTTTTCTTTAGAAGAGAATCTGGGTTTTTCTGGAAGCAGCAAACATTTTCTTGCTCTCAGGATATCTGGGTTTCATCCCCCATCTGCCATGTTTTCAGGTCAGGTCTGTCTTGATGTTCCCCCATACGGAAATGGCCAGGGAGCTCCAAGAAACCCAGGCACCATCGCTTTGGCAGAGCCCGGGCAGTCAAGGCAGGGCAGTCACTTTGGTGGAGCCCGGGAGGTTGAGGCAGGGCAGCCGTGTAAATCCGAGCAGTCCCGCGCAAGGTAGGGAGGCCATGGTGTCCAGCAGTAACTGGCTCTCCTGGGTGAATGTGCTGGTGATGGCCTACGGTAGGCTGGTGTTTTTGTGAGGAGACAAATCACGCGCTCTGCAATGAGATCTACGAGGGGATCTCATGTCCCTGTGGGACATAATGCCCCCAAGGACTTGAAAGAGGAGATTGATATTCAACTATGCAGGGTTCAAGATATCAAGCATGAACCCTGGCTCCTTGCAAATGATGGTGCTAGACTGCTACAGTAGGAAACCTGGGGAAATCAAAATTGCTGCAGCTATCTGTACAGGATGAAAGCTCTGGATGTCATTCATGTCTCTGAGATCCCATTTCATGCTGAAGACTGGCATCCGCCTCCTTAATGGGCAAGAATTTCCACTCCTACCTGCTAGATCTGCGAAACACTACTATTCCTTTCAAGGGTGTGCACGAGGCCCTCTTGATACCCTGCTGGATGGCTATGAGATGGCCTGCTGTGGGGCAGGGGTCTTTGGCCAGAATGAATACCTGTGCTATCAGGAGGCCCTGAGTGAGCTGGCCACCATGGTCAAAGCACGAACTGGGAGCTCTCAGCACCAACACCAGTCAGCAGTCAAAGACCTAACTCAGTCCCCTGAGGTCTCCCCAACAACCATCCCAGTGACCTGCCTCCCCTCCAGTCAGAAGAGTAAACGTGCCAAGCACTTCCTCAAATTGAAGAGCTCTAAGGACAACTATAGCACATTGGAGAGTACTCCGTGATGGCGCTGAAGGACTCTCACTGTAGATTGAGCCAGACGGTTGCACTGTGCAAGACAGGCTGCTTGCTGGGCAGCCCTCAGAACATCTGGCTCAGCAGGCCCAGACTGTATCAGGTGAAGCTCCCATTGTGTCCAGAGTTCTTAGAGCTTGTGCCTAGTGTCATTCCCAACCGTTTCTTACCGGTGTTTTTAGAACACTGGCTAAGATTTTATTTTCCGCCAATAGCATTTTTTTCTGGATTTGAATTCAGATGTTATTCTCAATATTTCTGTCAAAGCCTCCTTAAAAATCTTCACTTGGTCTTAGCCACAGTTCTCGTGCCCTGTTCCAGGCTTTTTAATCCCATAGATGAGAGTTGGAGTCTGGTGTTTTCTGTATTTACCCCTTTCTTCATGGTTAAATGGAAACTGTTTGGGTTTAGGGCATCTCAGAGTTGAGTGTTGGAAAAGGCAGACGGAAACTGGTGGGGAGATGGGGTGAGGAAGTGGGTGGTATGTGGAACAGCGTGCCCTGGTGCTCCACTTACACCAAGATGTGTCAAAACATTAACACAGCTTTCCTAACATGCAAGGATCTATCCTTCCACTTTCATTCCATACTCTGTTGTGAATAAGAGGGAATGTTCTGACACCTGGCATGATCTATGCCAGGCTTTGAGACAATGGGAAGGAATAGTTTCCCCAAACAAGCCAATGCAGTGGTCTGACTTATAAATAAGTTATTTAACAAAATGAACTATTAAAAAATTTTTAAAAAAGAATATCTGGGTTTCGAACTCAGCTCACCCTTAGATTTGAGCAATGCATCACTTCACTTGACTTTAGTTGCTCCGTTTGTAAAATCAGCCGGGCCCAAATAGCTGTGACAGCCTATGATTCCCATTGGACATCATTATGTAATGACTGACTTATTCTGGTAAATCCAGGTTCAAGTGAAGATTTGCTCTACAACCTGTCTTTATTGTCAATGTCTTTCCTCTCAAGATCATTTATTTAAATATTTTAGCTTGCTCAAGATAATGGCCTTTGATAAACCTATAAAATAATTATTTTTCTCATAACCAAGCATACTAATGAGTAGATATCCTTTAGCTAGCAAAGTAGCCTGCACACGGTTAATTCTTAATATGCATCTGCCAAATGTATTTAAGAATATAGTCTATACATTCCTCTCACCAGTTTTGTCTTCACA